TCTTACTTACAATGATTTGGCTATTTGCTTCACGTTATTAATATTCGTTGAATTGACGTTATAAGCAGCTTGAAAATAGTTTAACGAATCTTGAATTTTTCCTTCTCTTCTTAGTATTAAACCCTATGAAAAAATTAATTGATTTCGACATTTTTATTTGAATATTAAAAATAATTGATTACGTAAAAATTTTGCTTACTTTTAAATAATTCGCATATTCATTATATCCGTTTGATTTTATTAATTCTTGATCAATTAATATTTTACAAGTTTTGTATTCATGTCGCGTATAATGTCGATGCAACAACCAATTGTTGCTCTCTATCGCTGGTATTTCTGGTGCTAATTTAATATAAAATATAATATCGAATTACGTCATAAATTTATAAAAAAATATACTAACATACATTTTAATTTAAATTAAAAAAAACATATTTTTTATAAAATTATCTTTTCGAACGTAAAATAGAAATTACAATAACTGTTCACAGAAAATTTTATTTCATACATTATCATAGAAATTCAAATCTTAACGTTCTTATTTTAATATTTCAAATATTTCTATCTTTTTAACAACTACGATTTAATATTCATCGAATATGTATGTATTTATTAATATTTGACAATGATATAATAAGAATTTTGGATATATATATGTATATTATATAAATAAATAATATAAAATGAACAAAAACACCTTTTTTTCCTTTATCATTTCTTAAACGCTGCGAAACAATCGTCTGTTGTTGAATGCGGCCATTACTAAAAATATTGTTAGTCATTATTAATACACAAAAATAATAATCTGTGAATATATTTCACATTAAACGACAAATTCACTTGTGTTGTTGCTAGTATTTGCTATGACAACCCTTGTTTTAGGTCTTCTTCACAAAGAATCATCATAAGATATAATAAAATATAATTCTATGTATAGACAATTTCTCAATATTTAGATTAAAAAAAAAATAAATTTACTTTTTTAAGATAATGTCATAATTTTTAACATTGAAATATAATTTGTCAATTATTCAATTGATCTTATTTCTTTATTTTAAATTAATATATAAAATAAAATTAGAAATTAATATTAAGATACAAGTACACAAAATTTTTAATTATCTTTATTGTTTATTTATGTATAAAAAGAAATATACATATATAGCGGTAACCAAAAAACATTTTAGTATTATGATTATATGCAAAAAAAAATAATTATCAAACAAAAATTCCAGTTAAAAAATTATGAAAATAATTTTAAAATAATAGAAATGAATATTATATGTATTATTGAAATTAAAATTAAATAAATAATACATTAAAAGATGTATTCTATTTTTCATGTGACATGTAGCGCCATCCGGGTGATAATAGAACTACGGAACGTCATATCAACATGGTTACGGCTAGTTGTTCCGACGCGATAACGAAACGGAAACATTAAAACAATCTTGAATTTAAGTTACAAAAATATAGGAAAAAAGTTATATTAAAAAATTAAATATCTAAATTGTATATTAACGTGTGAATAGTGTTATTTGAGTGTTTAGTTAGGGAGCATAGAAAGTTTATCATTTTATATTTCTAACATGTAGAAGAAAGATTAGAACAAATTAGTTACCAGTACTACAAAATTAAAGGTTATTTTTAATTGTGAGTGAAGTTCTTTTAATTTTTGTATTAATATAATAAAACATTGTTATTTATTATTATTGCAACTTTTATAGGTTATCTTATGTATCACAATTTTATATTTGCCGCATGTCCACTTGTTATCAATTATAAAGTCAACAAAATTTTTTTTAAATATACCTGCTATTTATATTGCATTATATTGAACATGATCAGATATGAACTTGTAGCTAAAATAAGACAATTAAATTAGTGAAACCTTGAAACATTGTTTTTTTGTCCTCCTTTTTAATCCTTTGTTTTGTATTCCTATTTTTCCTAGCACATAATTGATTTACAATTATTATACAAATTATATTGTTTTGTGCATTTTATTTCCATTTCATTGTAGATTTTATGTTTTAATTTTTATAATATTATGTTTATCTATATTTTTTTAGAAATTTCTTAGGCAAAATTGTTAATTAAATTAACTAATATAACTAAGAACTTAATTATTTAATATTAACTTTTCATTTTATATAAATAATTTATATTTTTTAGATAGATATGTTTATTATTGCAATTTATAATTTTTTTTAATTATATTATAATTTTACAGTGATCAGTATCATCATAATGTCATAATTATAAAAGAAATTGGATATATCATGAGCTGCTCTGTAGAATTAAGACAGCGTAGACAACAGGGGATGGCGGAGGATCCTCATAAACTTGCAGCAATGATGAATAAATCTCAAAGACTTGTGTTGGGCCTGTTAGTTTTATTATTAGTTGATATCATTTGGGTTTCTAGTTCTGAACTTACTAAAGTAAGAATTATTCAAATATTATATTTAAATTAATTATAAATTATAATTTTTTATAATGATCTTTATATTTTAGTATATTTACAGAGAAGCAGCATTTGAAAAACCATTTTTTAGTACATATGTGAAAACATCGATGTTTACATTCTATTTACTTGGTTTATGTTTTTGGCCTCCATGGAGAGATCAATGCAATAAACCAGCAACATATATGGTACATCTAAATACAAATAATTTTATTAATGAAATAAAATTGTTAATTATTATTTCATTTTTTTATTTCAGTTCATAGATCCTAATGTAGAAGATGATAACTTTTATTCAGAAGCCAACACAAGTTTGGTAAACAAAAATTATTATTTTTATTATTTTTATTTTTTCTGTCTTACAAATTTTAATATATCATTAATATTTTATATAATAAATATTAATCAAAATTTTTATAATTGTAGAGTGACCCAACATTTGTTCCAATAAAAACATCAGATCATTGTGATCGTTCTTCAGGTACAGAAAGTGATGATTCATCAATACGTTCAGTAAGATTTAGTAAATTAGCAGAAGTTCGTCATATGTCAGAAAGTGATGCCACAGAAGCATTATTAGCAAGACTTAGTTATCAAGCAAGCTTAAGAGCTGGAGAACATGCAAGACGACAAGCCAATAAATTTTCTGTCCAAAAAGTTGCTAAAATTGCACTTATGTTTTGTTTACTTGTAAGTATCAACTTAATGTTATAATTATATATTATATTTTAAACTTAAAACAATTTTTAATTGCAGTGGTTTATGGCAAATTATACTTATCAAATATCATTAGCAAGAACTGAAGCTGGAATTGTAACTGTATTAACATCAACTTCTAGTTTATTTACTCTGTTTCTTGCTGCATTTTTTCCTAGTAATGGTGGGGATAAGTTTACATTATCTAAACTAGTTGCTGTCTCTATTAGCATTCTTGGACTAGTATGTATAATTATAGCATATATAGCAATATATAAAAAAACATGTAAAAAAGACATGGAAAAAATTTTTTTCTATTTCTTTTGTTTTTTTTTTTTTTTTTTTTT